GACCTGCACAGTAATATACACAACCTATAGGTGCATGCATGGTGGCCTATCATATATATATATATTTAGGTTATAACGACATCAGATAGCTAATATACACAGTAATATACACAACCTATAGGTGCATGCATGGTGGCCTATCATATATATATATATTTAGGTTATAACGGCATCAGATAGCTAACACACACAGCAGGGTTCTGCCCACGGTGGGCGGCGGCGGGCGGGTGTGCCCGGCACTCGCGGTTGCCGCCCGGCACTATATATCTCCGCCCGGCACGAATTTTTTATTATTAAAAAAGAGAAAAGAAAAAAGTCTGATATATGGGCTTTTTATTGCTCAGAATGCAGAAAATTGAGTTTCAGACTATCCAAAATTAAAAATTTCCCAGTGGGGCATGCCCCGGACCCCCCTAGATTGGCTTCACGCCTACGGCGCTTGCATCTTCCGACTTCGTCGCAACTGGATGCGCTCGGCACTAAAAAATCCTGGGCAGAACGTTAACCCTGCACAGTAATATACACAACCTATAGGTGCATGCATGGTGGCCTATCATATATATATATTTAGGTTATAACGACATCAGATAGCTAATATACACAGTAAATACTAATATACACAACCTAGGTGCATGGTGGCCTTTCAGTATCATATAGACAAGAGCACATTATAACTATGTTAATGTACTCTTGATATATAGAAATAGTCGCTAAGCTATTTTTGTAGCAACTTCGTATAAAGAAATGCGAATCTTACGACATTTGGCACAATAAGTGTTACAGAATAAAATCAATTGTTCCCCGTATGGAATGTGCACGCCAGTGTGCTACTGCTACTCAGTGCTAGTGTTTCAATCAAATATAAGTAACAAATCTAGAAAGAACAGCAAATTGATGTTTTCACACAAAAACATATTATTATAACATACAATTCACTTAGGTGCGTTTGCGTTGTAAAGAGTATATCATTTGTCCCGTAATAGACTAATAAGTCTTTATTATGTATAGTTGGAACCGCTCGTTGCCAGCTTATTACTGTAATAATGTTGTAAATTGGTTGTATACCATTATCTATATCCGCTTCATTGCAAGCGTAAATGCGTTTATATACTATATGTATGTTGTTATATCTCATCAAGGGCGTATAAAGAAGCCCTTCTTTATACGCTCTTGATCCTATCATCACTGACAATCAATAGAACGGGTACATGACAGTAGTAATTACAGTTTATGTAAATAGGTTACCTATTGACGTAATATGTTTTTCAGCTACGGTGTTTTTATGTTACATAATGGCCCTGACATAGGACTTAAACATATATAGGCTCCTTTCAACCAACTAATATTCCCAGGTGCAAAAATAACGACCAATCATTTACGTTCTCAGTGGCAGACATAATTATATCAACAATTATATGTGTGCACAGGTATCAAGACTACACAAAAAATGATATTCATACACAAGATAAATATTAGAGCTAATTTCAGTATGGGACACCTGTAAATAGCCAACCACTCCCTAAATCTATTACAGGAATAATATATTTAGCCTGAGAGCGTATACCAATCTCTGACTAATTCAGATGTTCCTAGTTAGACAATTACCACTCTCTCTCTCTCTCTCTCTCTCTCTCTCTCTCTCTCTCTCTCTCTCTCTCTCTCTCTCTCTCTCATCGTTTGACATCCAATGTCCGCCCAACAATGTCTCTGGCCTGTAACTTCTAACATGTCCCAAATTTTTTAATATGATCCAAAATATGCTTTGAATATGTTCTTATTAGTGTTCAAATCCTGTATGTGTCTACATATTTGATCAGATATATGTGTAAATGTATGTATGTGTGTCAAATCTGGAAATATTAAAATAATAATTCTAACATGTGTGCTTCCTATTCTTTATTGGCCATGTGTTCAACCCAGAATGACTGACAGAGCTGCTCCACCCTTCACCGGAAACCGGATGAGTGACAATAAAGGAACTATATCAAACCCGCATATATCTTCATCTCATTAAAGATGACGACTATAAACTCCAACTAAACTAAGATTAAACCTGAAAAGAGGCACCCAAGAATTTAATGAGCATTATTATGTATAATTAAGATGCATAAAAATAATGCTATAGATTATAACATGACAAGCATATTATACACGTACACGTATAAACACCTGCATATATACTATATGAGTATATGGGTGTTTTTCATGTTATTAAATGTTACATCGCGAAATAATCAATAAATAAGCAAATATTAGAGAACAGACATGTATGTGATTCTGCATACATGTGTGTGCACGAGTGCGTGTGTGCGTTATTACTACCTCTCATCATGTGCTCATTACTCATTACTCATTAGTGATACTGTTGAAACATCATGATGCCTCTACATGCACTGCCTCCCATTCTTCGCCTACTCTATCATTACTGAGTGCTATTACTGAGTACTAATGCAGAGGCTGGCTACATGTACATTTGTATCACATTAGGTGCACTGATACTTACAAAGTTATTATTTCTTCACTGATAGCAATCAATCAACTTGATCTTTCCCAACCCAGTCACCATGAAGCACCCTCAAACATGCCATGGGGAGATGTTAGAAAAACAGTGTGTGTAGTATGAACTATGCTACCAAGGATGGGAGTATAGGGAAGATGCTGTACAAGGAACACCGTGTAATACACGTCCATCATCACTGAGCCACTGACTGTCAGCTCTACATATATACACAAATAACACTCTTTAAGTAGGTCACCTTTGAGGAGTCACCAGCTAGCCTGCTACTAATCAACTTGGTGAAGACAAATCTGATTGAACCTTTATATATTTCATGTTTGTGTGTGTGTATATATATAATATACACTGGGCGAAATTACTTCAAATTAACGCTATTTTGCCCGCGGCTGCCGGTTTACCAATTTCCTGACTAGTTTTTACTTAGTGACTACTAAGAAGTAAATCATGTTCCAGCAATTCCTGTCAAACAAGTAGAACTCCACTGGTAGCAATGAAATACTGAAATACTATGAGTATGTCTAATACTAATAGACACAAAGCTAATACTTTTATAAATAATAAAATAAATTGAACAAAATTAAGGGCCTGTTCAAATTTGTAAGGGCCTCACCCCCTGTTCAATTTGTCTAAGGGCCCGTTTAGAATTCTGGGTGGGCATGTTAACATTTTGGGTAATTTCATGCCGTGTGTGTGTGTGTGTGTGTGTGTGTATGTGTGTGTGCGTGCGTGAGAGAGAGAGACAGAGAGAGAGAGAGAGAGACGAGCAGAGCAGAGAGTGGAGAGAGACGAGCAGAGAAGAGACGAGAAGAGAGAGAGAGAGATAGACAGAAAGAGAGAGAGCGAGAGAGAGAGGCAGAACCCCGCCTCTTCAACTCAGCAGCTTGGTGAAGTCTGCAATGTCAGCTGTGCGGTGATAGATAAACTAGACATCTTCCTTGCAAGCATCCATGATACAAGTATAATGAACATGGATGATCACAGATGCATGCACTCACTCTCCAACAGTGGCGTAGCCAGGGGGGGGGGCGATGGGGGCGGTCGCCCCCCTAAGATTTAGAAGGCTACCTTATTTAAACCAGCAGAACTGTTTCAAGTCGATAAAACATGCCAACAACATGCACCTGCCCCCCCCCCTTAGATTTAATCCTGGCTACTCCACTGCTCTCTAAAGATTATGTGTAAAACATGTCTGCAGTTGCTATGATTATAATATTTGTTGCACATACCCTAATTCTACAGTATATCCCTACATTCTGCCATGTAGGTCTATTGATACAATTTCCTTATTGAAAATATGTGCTGGTATTAGTTTTCTGATTTTACTAAAAGTTCCGTTGCTGTATGGCAAATGTTCAGACCTTTAATGACTTATTTCGATTAAATTTACCTCTCACCTACCGATTAAACCATTCCATCACCTCTACACACATCAATACACATACCTATCAAAACATTTGTAAGAAACATACATGTATACCACTACTTTGCAGACTTAGACTATTTCCAAACTACTCTCAGTTTTATGTGACGTCACTAAAAACACTGCATCTGTGAATTATTCAGGATGATATAAGCTACCACAGGACGTTTTTTTATGAATGACGTGATAAATAAATGGTTGTGAGTTGCTGTAGAACTGTTATCGGTGTTATGTATATATATATATATATATACAGTGACTTTGCTTTAGTTTAAGTTCAGGAGTACTACCTACCACGGAGTTATGAACACACAGTCACAGTGTCGCACTCTGTTTGAGCACAGGGCATTCTGACACTCTATATGATCCTAACAGCAGCCAAACACAGTAACACTAGTCACTAGAACACTACATACTACATAATTGCCATAACGTTACTTAGGTGTCAACGTTACACTGTGCCCTATCTATGCTATACTTACAGACTGAGCTCTTTTTCTTTCAGTTTCAGCGTAAAAAGTACTTTTGTTATATATGATGCAAACAAAATTATACGAACGTACTTTTTAGACTACGATCATTAGTAGTTCAACTTAAACTTGTAATAATAGCATTTCCAGTAATTATACTCACCCAAAGTCATCGTCCATGGATTTGAAAAAGAACTTGTAGTTGGGCTTGTTTAGCACCGCCTTGAAATCGCCGAGGGTCACTTCATCGGCAGGTTTGGGAATTTTTACTAAGTAGGGAGTGTCCTCGTCATCTATATGGTAGATAATTTTTGTTTCCCCCATCTTTTCAGCTTCCTAGCTGCTGTTATCAGACCTGTTTCAACGCACAAGATACACAGTTAATATGGCGGCGACCACAGATCTATCGGGCCACTTCCAATTTGATGTTCGGTTATTGCAGCATTATTTAGTCCGATCAGATATTATTTAACACATGTTTCGTTGCGCCGTCTACACCATCGCTCCTCCAGTCTGTTAAAAAGACTACCACAAATAATGCAATCTCACGAAGAACTATTTTATTTGGACATACACAACAAGCTTCGCTATGCAACACTCGGCGTATGAGGCAGTTACAAATAACACGACCACCCCCACTGGGAATCACAGACAATCGTATATAATATAAACATATTCGTAATTAATAAATTATTTTAATCCCCATATAATTTTGTAGTAGTTTATTTATATGCTTAGGTAAACAGTACGGGGTAACACGCAGGAAAAATCAACAAGTAATATTATTTACCTTCCTATAGTTGTGGGTAAGCGGAGATGCTGGAATAGCAAAATAATTTCCTTTAATTACTAAGCGCTGGAAATACACAATTTAGGGGTAATATAGTAATACATTTTTATTGAATATTATAAACTATGTTTTTCAACATTTTTATTACGCAGTATGAGTTTAAATGTTTATATATTTATCGATTATAGACCAAATAACATGCAGAGCTTATTTTTCCGCGGGACAGTGTTGCCACCCATTATGGCGAAACTTTTGTTTTGATGAGAGGTGTGTGAATTAAGAATCGGTCAGTGAATGTTTTATGCGCACAGAATTGAGAGGGTGATATGCTGGTAGCTACTGTTTAACAGCCTGTAATAATGCTACAAATTATAGGTAGGTTGTGTATAACCACTTGACTATAATAGTTAATACTAGTGAATTAAGGTGTACGGTAACGGTAGGACCTACCTCACGGCACAGGCCCTCGGACTTGGAGGCTCAAGTTTCAAGCACTGGCAGCAAGAACAAGTCCGCACCTGCAGCTACAGCACACACGCATCTATTGACTATATATATACAACATATATATTGTTATATATATAGTCAATAGATGCGTGTGTGCTGTAACTGCAGGTGCGGACTTGTTCTTGCTGCCAGTGGTTTCAAGAAGAGTATAAGGCCATGAGAATGAAAAATCCGGTTTACCGTCCACCGCCCGCATGCCCCTTTAGTCCCCGCCCAAAAAAGTCATTATTTACCAAAAATTTCATTATTTGGAAAAAAATTCCCTCACTGAAACATAATAGACTAATCACAAGGTGTACTTA